TACTGTTGATGGGAAGAAGTCAATTTCAAATCCCAACTAAAATAATCTTTTCGCGTATTATATTATCATTTTTAGATCACCCTATATAAACGTATGTGGCGTATAGAAAATCGCGGACACTTTCTTTATTCAGTGCACGTGCATGCGAGAATGCATCAACGCAGCATGTATGCGTACATATGCACCTGAATCCCATGGGATATTGCAAGACTTGCAGCCGAATTCGACATTATATCTCAGCAATAGTTTCAATTCATTATCAGTAATGGAGCATAGCGTCCTAATTACCATCCTTAAATATTTATACGTAGCTGATTGCAGTTTGTAGAAAATATTTTTAATTGTGAATATACACGTGATATTTTCACTACTACACAGTGTTATCATGATTAAACTATAATATTTATTCTGAGAAATTTCATTTTTGCAAATAGATTATTTATTTTAATCACTGAATTGTATAATGATTTGAATTGTGTATTAACCCTTAATACACACCTTTGGGTCATTCGTGTCCTGCGCATTTCTTTTCTTTGAAATACCAAGAGCACCTGGTCAAATACCGGTCTCTTTTCTATTCCTAAAAAAAGTTTGGCATCCAAAGAACAAGTTTTGTGCGTTGTCGACCTCAATTCGTACATATCCTTTAACTAGAATAACTCCGAAGTTCATCTCAAATGACCCATCGTGTGTATAAAGTGTACATTTTTGTAACTAAAAAAGTTAAGTTTTATTTTTTTCTTTATATTCAACTAATGTTCTCGTTTGCGAGAATATTTCGCGAATTATTAAAAAAAAAATATTTAATCGTAGAACAATTAACCTTTAATAAACATATTAACCTTTAATAAACACGATGATTTTTGGTATCCTTGTGTTAAATGTTGTCTGTAATATATAATATTATGTTGTTTATAATGTTTCAAAGAACATTTTCCTAATAAATTATAAGTTTTTTTAACACAATAGCAACAATAAAATACATTGTTTAAAATGTAAATGCAATATCTCTTCAATTTATAGTGATTTATGTATATTAAAAAAAATATTATTTTTAGATTACTAAATAACTAAATTTTTTGGACAGCCGACACTTAAACTATTTTTGCTTTTTGTAGTTTAGAATGTCAAATTTAGGATATTGAAATATATTTTTCCTTTAAACATTTTTGTTTCAGAGTTTTACATTTTGTACGAGAAAGTGCATTTTTCTCATTTTGTTAACTGTATTTAATTATAGCACTTTATATACAATTTGTTATAAATGTACAACTTTACAAATACTTTCTAAAGATGTCAAAATATACATAAAAATCGTTTAATAATTTTTATATACTTGTAAAAGTCATGAAAATTAATCCAGAACACGAATGACCAAACGTGGTATAGTAAGAATGCCCAAAACTAAGATGTGTATAAAGGGGGTCAGATATTGTTTAATAAACTAAAACAATAAACACTATTCTGGTTAACGAAAAGATGAGCGGTAGGCAAGCCATAACAGGTAGCGGAAATATGTTACTGTCGAAAGTGACTGTAATTACGCATAACGATAGCGCTTACGTAATGCATATTTAAGTCGATGTCGGTAGCGGTGTTGCAGGAATTCAAAGGAAATGGCGCCGTTTTCTGTTGTTGCATGATTTTTCAGCACGAACGGCATTGAGATTGCATAATATGCCTTTTGTACTCTTTTACATAAAGTATGAATGCAATAGCTTTACAGTATACAATTATTAATAATTTTTCAACGTGAAAATTGAACAAGAAATAACTTTCGTTAGTTTCAATCAAAATATCTATTGTATCTCAAAATGTTATTTTTTAAACAAATTTAATTTTCAACGAATATTAATTGTTGTAAAATTGACTGGTATTATAAATTTTTTATAGTGATTAATTTGTTATGAAATTATTTTGTTATTTTATTAACATTTACGTAAATCGAAGAAACATTAATGATTCTCATTCAAACAATTTAAAAAAATTTGTTACAACAAAATTTTGAATAAATTGTAACAATAATAAAGAAAAATAACTTATCTTTTGAAAATGTCGATAAAGAAATTAATATTAATAACTGTTTTGCTATTTGTTTGCTTGGTGGTAGCACAAGTCAAGCTTAGTTCCTTTAAGGAGGTCCCAGAAGATCCTAAAGCCATCTGTTTTATCGACTCGATAGGACTTATACACATACAATTTACGTGTCACTGACTTCACTACATACTACATCAATATTGCATTCATATAAATTTTTGTAACGCATTTTCATATCGATTAGGATTGCGGTCAAAGGTCGGTCAAATTCATAGTCAAAAGTCGATACCCAATAAAAGCTCTGGTTCTTTTCACGTGACGATGAAAAGCAGAGCTCTCATTGGATATTGTTCGTAGCTTATCGTTCATCACGTCCAGTGTGTAGTAGGCATTAAGAGTCGCTTCGATCAACTCTGATTAACTTTAATCGACGGTTAGTCCATTGGAATGGACCAAGCGCATTTGTCAACGACAAACGAGAAAAAACAGAGCCTTTATTGGATATCGCTCGTCGCTCATCGCTTATCGCGTCC